ATGACGGGCCGGCTCGTTTGGCCCGTTTTTTTTCTGGACTCAATTATTCTCAACCCAGCTCGGAAGAATATGGGTTCGCTCGCGAGCCAGCCCACAGGCCCGAACCCATTTTACACCCCTAGTCAAAAGTGTGAGTTGTCAAATAATATAAACTATTATAATTTCACTACTGTCACAAAATTCCATTTTTTCCTAATAATAGAAACTATTATAAATTTAATCGATCAATTATTATAGTAATTGTTAATTTTCTTGTCGGTGGCACAAATTAGGCACTAAGGATTTTAAAAATCTTTTGTAATTATGGACCCTTATCGAACTCGTTGACTTTGTCCTAAGATGAGTTGCCTATAATGACAGATTCATTTTCTGAAGTTTTGATGATTTGGAATCTGCTTAAACTGTTGTGAAATTCAATTGATTTTTTTTTTTATGTAAAAACATTATGGCGTTAGAAACAACAAAATAGATTAGATTTAACTAAGAAAAAAAAGGAAAAACAATTTAATTCAGATTAATCTGAAATCTTTCATTTTATTTTCTACAAATTTTTTTTTGGAGTTTATAGTAGTGAATATGCATAATCATGTGATTGATCATATACAATGGTATTTGAACCAATACATACAGGGAAACAATTAATGTCTTCTTAGAGAACTAAATACCAACTTTAAATATTGTAATTAACCATAACGATAGTAATTAACAATATAAGTACAATTATAAATTTTATCATCATTTTACTGAGTATTTTATATCATGGAGTGACAATTGTTCTTCATGAAAAGCTAGCATTTAGTGTAAAGAATTAGATAATCTATAATTAATTACCACTATTTTTTTTAGATATATAAAAGCCCAATTCATAGCCCAATTGAAATAGTGGGGGACGGAACTCAACTAAACAAAAGATATCGGGCGCAATCATAAATACCTAAAGTATAAGGGATCCAGACATAAATCTTGAAACCAGTGGAAGTGGCTTGTTAGTGGAAAGGAACACGTTTTTTAAATGTAAATAGGTTTTTTGTCCATGGCATTTGTCTTAATCACGGGTTCGAAATTAGATCTCCGTTTTCTCGAATCTCTCCTCTTCCCGTTTCGTACGTCGTCGGAGCTAATCTCATCGATTCTCGATCGTAAACCATGGACGGCGACAATTTCGCCGGCGAGGTACGTATGTGATTCCATGGATCGGCATTACACGTTGTGTAATCTGTATGTTTCGATGAAATCAACCCACATTGGGCTAAATTATTCGGCTTCCTTTCCGATGATCTGAGAATTTTTTGTATTTACGCGGAGTTTCTGGTTTCTCGTCGTTGGATTTGATCTATGTGAAGATTTGGGGGAAACACCTGTGTAGAAGCTATTCCGATTGAATTGAGCTAGGGTTTTCCAAGTTAGGGTTTCGCATAAGTGCTATCGTGATCGTAATGGCGATCTTCCTCGCATGCATGGCGTGGGAAATCGATCGAAAGATGTATCTGTTGTTCATGAATTGCATTGTTTTTTAATCCTGATATCTTTGATGTTCTTCTTCGGCAAAAGGGATTTGCTTGTTGTTGTGATTCAGTTCAGGTTGTTGAATCCATGGCGAGACTTAAATGATCGATAGATGGCTTTTCACCCTCTAGAATTGTAATCTTTTTTTGCAGTTTTGGTAATGACAAACGATTAGATTAGCTTCAGAAAGGGTTCATCTTATTGTTGTTTCATCCCGTTTTTTCGGATCAGTGACAGAGCTATATCACATTGTCTGTTGGTGAATTGAAATAAAACCGGCATTTGATCCACTTTCCCTATTACAGTTTTTTGTTGATTGATAGGAAAACGAGTCACCGAAAAGATTCGTTCGAGGTTTTTAGCTACTGCATTGTTCGAGTTATTTCTTTTTCTCCCTGAAAATCGCAGTTTAATTTCCTAGACCTTTTCTCCTATCACGACTCATTGCCATTTTTTCCCCGTTCGGCGGCCATCATCCATACCGATGATATCGATACGCTTACCTATATCGTAGCATTTCAATGGTTTTGGTATACCATGACGAGAATGTGATGCATATACATGTCTCTTTTGTTGTCCTTGTTGTCTCGATCTTACATAACATGTTGTGATTCTGCAGGTAAATGCCGAAGCCAAAGGGTTAAACCCGGGACTGATTGTGTTGCTCGTTGTTGGAACTCTGCTTTCGGTTTTCCTGGTCGCGAACTACGTGCTGTACATGTACGCGCAGAAGAACCTTCCGCCGAAGAAGAAGCCCGTCTCGAAGAAGAAGCTGAAGCGCGAGAAGCTTAAGCAGGGAGTTCCCGTCCCCGGGGAGTAAGTTCCCATCTTTTTTTTTTCCTCCCTTCCATCGTTTGAAGAAGCTGGTAAAAGATAACATGGTCGGGTCACGAAATTCGCCCTTTTCGGGGTTTTTTTTCTCCTTTTCCCTTTCTAGTTTTGGTTGTCATGAGAGAATCCTTCGAGACTTTTATGATTTGCAGCAAGAATTGTACGGAAACGACCCTTTCTTGGGTGCTAGACTTTAAATGTCTCTATTTTTGTTAGTGGTGGCCATTTCGGTTTCCATTGGTTGATCTTCCGCCGTTACCTATCAGTGTGGTCCGAGGGAGAGGAACGATGAATAAGAAGAGCGCGAAGGTATAGACTCGTTTTCAGACAGGTTTTTTGTAACTAATGTCACCGCATGTCCTAAAATATACATTACAGAAACCAAAGAAGACCAATCAAAATGAAGATATATAAAAAGAAAAACACGCTCTTTCCTAAGAGTATGTATACATAAATTGCACAACCCCTCACTCTAAAGCATGATCCATCCAACCACCTCTCTCACTCACGCCCGCCATGAAAGAAACCCTACAGATTGAAGACTTTTTGAAATCCTCTCTCTCTTGCATGGGGAGTGAGCGGTACAACTGTTATGGATTATTCTGTGCCCGGCATTGGAACCATCATATGCTGACCCTGCATTATACCAATACCCAAAAAAAAAAAATACTTTTTGAAACCGGATGGAAAAAAAAAGGATGAACTGAATCATTCTTTTCAGCTGAATTATCTGCTGCGGGGAATATGCAAATTTCATGCGTGAGTGACTCCATATACAACAATTTGTGGCAATGATACTATGAGCCTAAGCGTCCAATTAGTGTCAAGATGCAATATGCAAAAAAGTGTGATACCACGGATGTATATCTCTGTGTACGTGGATAGATAGTTCAGGCTTCAGAGTGTAAATATCTGTGTACAACAAAGAAGAGAGAGAGAGAGAGATTACTTGAGAGTTTCCATAAGCAAGACCTTGTGAGAAGGAGCCTTGGTGAGCAAGCTGCAGAAAATTTTCAGAAGGTAACAAAAGGCGGAGAGAGATGTCAGACTAATATCAAAACTCGTGTTAAGAGGAGAGAATGCTCGGGGGCATAACGGTGATGAAAAAATGACGTATCAGCAGGCATAATAGCGGGTTATCCACCTGAGCGCTTTGTGTTTGTTGGGCATCTTTCTTTCCATTTGCGTCGCCACCCTTTGCTGAACCCTTTGTGTCACCCTACGAAACAAGATGACATATTACATCCAGATGACAGATCATACTGGAAATTCATCAAGATTGTGAACAGGACATGGCAAGAACAGATAAAGAAAAAAGGAAAGGAGAATCACTGACCTCCATCTGCTTGGATCCAACCCATACAACAGAACAGGAAAACATATCAGTGGTCGAGTTGCTGGAATTCTCTTTTGTTCATAAGTTCAACATAAGCTGAAACCAGAACTCACCTCCCTATATCTCATCAGATAAATCTTCAGGGGTTCAATGTAATCTTCAAATCCTAAAGTAGCCATTGCCCAAAGCAAATCATCTCCGTTAATGGTCTTCCTTTTCTCTCGTTGGCACTTATCACTGGCTCTGTTTACCCAAATAGACACACGTCATCTAACGTCAGTGTATCATACTACCAAACACCAAATATATACAGAAAATTAGATCCCACAAAAGCAGCAGATAACAGAACCCTGAGGCCTGAACTTAACCATCCAATCTCCAATGAAAAAGCCATAAAGTGATATGCAGCACACCCATTACACAAACAAACTAAATCAGACAGAAAAAAAAAAGCAGAGACAAGAACTGCACATGAAAATCTAATGATTCCATCCTCAGAATGGAAAATTTCATGATTTGCACTCTGAACCGACAAAGAAAACACAGGGGGCAGTATTCTAACACTAAGATGAGAAACAGCAATTTCCGAACAAAACAAACTCGGTCAAACCCGAAATTCTGAACACATAAGAGACCCAAATAGAAGAAACGGATTAAAGAGTCAAAGCCATACTCGCTGGTGATGAAGCTGATGAACTCGGAGACGCATTCCTGAAGAGTCTCCTTGGCGTCCTTAGCGATCTTGCCATTGGGAGGAAGAGCCCTCTTCATGATACGGCTGATGTTAGCGATGGGAAGGAACCTGTCCTGCTCGCGAACGTTGGCCGACCTCGGGCTCTGGTCCCCGCCGCTCTCGTGGCTAAC